TCCTGGGCTCAAGCGATCCCCCCACATCAGGCTCCCAAGTAGCTGGGACTACAGGCATGCACCGCCATGCCTGGCTTTTTTTCTTTTTAAGAGACGGAGTATTGCTGTGTTGCCCAGGCTGGTCTCAAACTCCTGGCATCAAGGAATCCTGCCTCAGCCTCTCAAAGTACTGGGATTAAAGATGTGAGCCAGGGTGCCCAGACTCTGAGTAGTTCAATTTAGAGAAAGTCCTTTGTTTAGAAGTTACTAAGAGTTAAATGAGGAAATAACCTTAAGCCCAATTTTGCAACTAAAAAAAAAAGTTATATCACCACCTTTTGAGTGTCAGTTACAGCAAAAAATAAAAAGATGTAAAACCACACAGGCAAGGCCTAGATTCTTGACAAAGACCAGTAGTTTTAAACTCTTATCAGATCCAATACCCTTTGCATAATCAGTATTTAATAGCATCCCTTTTATAATCCTAAAGTGAAATCCGTAGATAATTCACATACACAATTTCAAAGAAAGTATAATATAAATGATGAATAAAGGAAAAATACAAATATATTTCATAACTACAACTCAAACATAACTACATAAAAGACATAATAAAGCAGTTAGATGTTTACACCTTTACGTGGAATCACCTTGAAGGAAACAGCTGCAAACGTGGACTGACACAGTTGTGTTGTCTTGGCAACTCAAACACCATGACTGCTGCCAGTCATGATTTTATGAAATTGGTATAGAATTCTTGGTAAAATTTCAAAAAAAAAAAAATCTTTTGATTTATTCAGTTGTGATCCTGGGAAATTTAAGTATATTAATATGCAAAAAAATAGTTGTGTTTTATGGGCGGGCGTGGTGGCTCACACCTGTAATCCTAGCACTCTGGGAGGCCAAGGCGGGAGGATTGCTCGAGGTCAGGAGTTCGAAACCAGCCTGAGCAAGACCCAGTCTCTACTAAAAATAGAAAGAAATTAATTGACCAACTAAAAATATACATACAACTAAAAATTAGCCGGGCATGGTGGCACATGTCTGTAGTCCCAGCTGGACTCTGAGGCAGTAGGATCGCTTGAGCCCAGGAGATTGAGGTTGCTGTGAGCTAGGCTGATGCCACGGCACTCACTCTAGCCTGGGCAACAAAGTGAGACTCTGTCTCAAAAAAAAAAAATAGTTGTGTTTTATATGTAAAAGCAAGTTACAGTCTAGGCTCAGATGATCATAAATAGGGTTTTCCACCTACATGAATGTTCAGCAGGGTATTTGTGATAGGAAACAATTCTTGTTGAGAATCCTACTCTGTACGGCAGCCACTGTATGGTAAGTATCAGAAACACCCCTGGCCTTTGTGACAACCAAAAATGACCCCACCTGTTTCCAAAGTGCACCTGTTGAGAACTCACAGCCTAAATGTCTTGGGGGATATACGGGGCCCTGAGAAGTAAAACCTCCACACTGAAGGACAGACCTGACTCCCGTTGTCCTCGCCCCACCCCCTTCCCCCCACCTTCCCTCACTCCCTACTAAAGAGCAGTCATGCCCCTGGACTCCTACCACATGTCAGGCAGTTCACATCCTGGCATAGTCAATACGAGTAACATCTTACTCTCACACAGTCACATTGCAGCTGAGGCTGGATTCAGCAGACCATCCTGGTATCAACGTTGAAAGAATTCTGGTTCCAGAGAGTTTTACAGCATTGACATTAGACATACCTCTCTTGGTTTTTCGAAGAAAATCAAGAAAAATATTCATTCAGCATAGTCTCTCTATGGACTTTCTGGCCAAAGAGGGGAGGAGTCCATGGCAGCCACGGCTAGGCACCGGTGCCTTATGTCATCAGCTCACGCTGCGCCCCTCCCCCTCCCCCTTCCTTCCTTACTCATCCGGATAGAAAGAAGTGCTTCTCCAGTCCTCTGGGGAGAAGCCACTTTTTCCCTCCCTTCAGCCAGCAGGGCTTAAGCCAACATTCTTACTGTATATCCTAAAACAGCGGTCCCCAACCTGTGGTGAGTTATATAATTATTTCATTATATATTACAATGTAATAATAACAGAAATAAAGTGCACAATAAATGTAATGTGCTTTAATCATCCCCAAAACGTCCCCTCCTCCCTGGTCCGTGGAAAATTTGTCTTCCACGAAAATGGTCCCTGGTGCCAAAAAGGTTGGAGACCACTGTCCTAGAAGATGCATGCTTCCCTCTGGTTCTCCGTGGCGCCACTTGAAATGTACAAGGTCACTACGTGCAGCTCTTTCTCTCCTGGCCTTTGTACGTGACGGTCCCTCCACCTAGAACCCTCTTCTCCTTCCCCGTTCCTCGGGGCTAACTTATGTGTTCTTCCATTCAGCCTTGACATCACACCCTCTGTAAGTCTTCCCTGGCCATCCCCAAGCCTGGATTCGGCATGTCTTCTGCGTGCACCCTGTGCTCTGCTGGACTGGTCAGTGGTGGCCCTGACTGCTTTGTCATTGCCTGCTGTTTGTACCACCTGCTCGAAAGGAAAACATAAAGGTTAAGGCTGCAGGCTGTGGCGCCAGTCTGCCTAAGTTCAGATCACAGTCCCACTTCCTATCGGTGCCATCTTGAGCAAATTGTTAAATATTTCAGAACCTATTTCATAAGGTTGTTGTCAGACTGACTGAGTTAAACATGTAAAGCCCTTGGCATATGATAAATGCTCAATAGATACTAGCATAAGGCTGCATGTCCTTGAGGGTCCAGGTTGTGTCTTGTTCACTACGTGTCTCTGTCACCTAGCATGGCACCTGGCATCCAACAGACATTCATCTCTCTTGGCCGAGTCAGTAAGTGACTATCATCTTTTAATCCCTTGCAAATCATCTTGTCTTCTGCTTCCTGGTTTTACAATCAACAGTCTTTAGATGTAAATAAACACCATCTAAAGAAAGCAACCAAATGTTTAGAGATTATCTGCCCTGCCTAAGAAACGGTACTGTGCGGAAGTTCCTTGTTTAAAAAGAGACAGTGTTAGAATTGGGTTCTGATTCTCTTTGCAATGTCTTCCTGCGGAATTCAAGTTGGATGCACAGCAATTTAAGGCATTAGAACTGGAATCAACAGACTGCTGAAGGTAGCTGATGGCCATGACCCAGGTAATTCCTACTTTTCCCCATCTATCTGCCCACTTTAAAATGAAAATATATATCAAGGAAAAAGAAAGGGAATCAGAAGTCATTATGGTATCTGGTACTCTGATTCAACCATTCTGTAAATATCTGTTACGTACTTTCCTGTGACAGGCACTGGGAAGATGGGAAAGAATAAAAGTCAAATTCCTGCCCGATGGAGTTGCTGTTCTGATGGGGGAGACTGGTAAACCATGACGCACCATCTCCCTGGTACCCCAAAACAGAACTAACTGTGAGCGCCTGTTGCTGGAGGCCCTTTCTGGGCCAGATGTACCTTTGATCCCTTCGCTGGTGCTCAGCTGACAGGCAGTGGGATTGTGCGTGGGAGTCCAGGCCTGCATGTCCTCTTAGGTTACCTTGACCTGACCAGCTGGCTCCACCGTCCATCCCCAGCGTGAGGTGTGAGGCCGGCATCCGCTGCCATTACATGGCGACCCATTTCCCTGGGCCATTGCTCAGGCATGACAGAGCCGCTCGTCCTGTGTGGAAAGCCCAGCCGCCCACAGCCCTGCCCAGTGACACAGGCAATGACTGGCTGGTAATGGTTGCTGACAAAGTGCTATGGCAGGGAGTGTCCCATCTGGAGGCAAACAGCGGGTGGCTGCTTTGCCCCCAATAAGCCCCACCCCGCTCCACGCTTAGGAAACATCCCCCCCCACTGACCTACCCAGCCTCCCGTCGAGCCAGTTGTTTTTGTAACTCACACTGAGCTTAGTAGTATCAAAGCACTGACCACATTACTTTTTCGAACTATTACTAATCTTTCATGACACAAATAAACATGTTTATTGTTGAAAAAAATGTAAATGTAGCTAGGTAACATCCATTATCTCACTACCCAGAAATAGTAGCTGTTGACAGGTTGATGTAAGTCCTAGAAAATTTCCTAAATTTGTAAAAGTACATAACTTTTAAAGTAAATGCATAAGAATGAGTGCATATTTATTCAATGATCTGTGTTGATAAATGGTGCTGAAACAACTGGCTAGCCACTTTTCTCCTTCAGCTACAATCATTTGCAGACAGACCAAAGATGTAAATGCCAGAGAGCTTTCAAAGCATGTCGCAAAACCAGGAACGATACGGGAAAGGGCTCATTAATGATTCTGCCGACACAAAATTGTAGAACTTCCATACCTCGGAAGCAGATTGGCGGGACGTGTAAGGGTAGAAGCTGCACATAGCTTGTGACCCCGCACTTCTACTTTTAGGTAATTGTTCTAGAGAAACTTTCTCATATGGTCACAAGGAACTGAGTACAGAGACTTTTCACTCTAATGTTCCACTGTAATAGCAGGGAAAAAAAATGGGACAAACCTGAAAGTCCATCAAAGGAGAACAGGAAATAAATTGCAATGCCTTCATACAACCAAATGTTTTACAGCATGAAAACAAATGAACTAGAATGATTTTGCCTCCTCCCTGCCCCTAGTTTTATTTGTGCCCCAGAGGTAATTGGCAACATCTGGAGACATTTTGGTTGCCACACTTGGGTGAGGGGCAGCGGTGACCACCTACTGGCTAGAGGCCAGGGATGCTGTTAAACACGCTGCGGTGCGTGCGATGTCTCCCACAACAAAAGAATTATCTAACCCAAGATGTCAGCGGTGCGGAGGTTGAGAAACCCTGAGAGATGACTCAACTTGGGCAGACCTTACCAACGATCTTAAGTGAAAAAGGAAGTTGCAGAACGATCGAATCTGATAGTGTTTACAGATACGTCCGGATACGGTACAACCAGAAAGCAGGTATGGGACCAACGCACACCAACCTGGGCAGCAGGCTCCTCTAGGGCGGGCGGGCGGGCGGGCATGGGGTCAGGGAGGGGTATAAAAGGGCTTCCGTGGGCACAAGCTAGATGAATCCCAGTTCTACCACTTCCTCGCTGTGTAACCTCGGCAAGTTGCTTAATCATTCAGGGCCTCCATTATCACATCTGTAAAATGGGATGATACTAATCATAGTACCTTCTTCTTAGGGTTGCGGTGAGTTAACTGATGTAGAACAGTGTGTGGCTCATAGTAAGAACTACATAAGTTTTGCCACGATTTTCATAATGATTCCTAGTATCTATAATGTTTTATTTTTAAAATATCAAAAGCGGATATGGCATGTGTATGAAAGAGCTCAGTGGCCTGCCTCGAAGAGGACCTTCATCCCTCCTGCCCCCTCCCCAGCCAGGTGAGTTTCATCCTCAACACTTACTCTGTGTTTTTAAAGCCACACCATCCCAAACACGCCCTCCAGATCTGGGACAACCCATCTAGGCATGTCTCCCTTTTCCTTTTTTACCCCTGATGCTGGCAACTCTCTTTATTGACACAGACGGTGAACAATACAGTAACAAGTATGTGCCCCCTTGTCTGTTTCAATTTGTGTCACTAAATTAGATCGCTATGGAATGATCAGGGTAAATGAGGTGCTCATTGTTACCACTCCGGCTTGCCCAACGGCTCTCCTAAAAGCTTGCACCAGTCTACACCCCACCTGCAGGTGACAGTGTGATTTTCCATTTCCTTTTGCCTCCCCCACTACAGTATGAGCTTCTTGAGGACAAAGACTGCGACATTTGTCCATATACTCTCCATGTCTTGATAGGTGCTCAGCAAGATGTGGTGGAGTAGATCAAGGCTTCACAGCACATTGCTAAGTAGGTACAGAGGGCAGAGAAAAATAAGACGCGCCTGCCCTCGAGAACTTACAATTTAGGTTTGTTTGAAAATTGCAAGTGTAGGGGGAGCCTGGGGAGGGAGGAAACGCTGTCGGGGAGAGTACCTGGCAAAGCCAGCTGTGGCCAGCTGTGAGGAATGCGGGTCCTCCCCGTGCTTGGCAAGGCAGAGGAATGGCATCCCGGACGGGCAACAAACCGCTCCAGCAAAGTGTGGTGACGAGGATGCGTAAGGACATTTGTGGGATGGTTAGAAGGGAGGTCACTAATGTGTAGTCACCGTGGAGGATCTGATTAGCAGGAAAGGCAGGGCCTGGACGGGGGCAAGCCTTGTTCCACAGCTGAGATGTTTAAACTTTACCCCCGAGGCAACTGGAGCTACCAGGGGTGCAGCGAGGAGGAAAGGCTGCTCTAGACAGGAAGATTAATCACAGCTGCGTTGCTGCCGGCTGCCTGTCACGCCAGAGCTGTGCTGCTCTCAAGCTGCCTGGCTGGTACTCCCTCTTTCCAGGTAACCAAAGCCGGGTCCGGATGCCCTCTTGGCTTAGGAAGGGCGGCCTCAGGCAAGACTGAGGGCGTGAAGACAGGCAGAGCCTGAGAGGCAGGGAGAAGCTGTGTGTAATGGAAGTGTGGTCACCAGGTTCAGGGACCAGCTAGTGGTTTGCAGCCACCACGGCCCCTTATTCATCCCTGTTGCCACACCTTTGCTTGGGCTCTCTCGTGACTCTTGAGATCTGACTTTGTGCCTCTCTGTGCAGCTGCATTCTCAGTGACGCCAGGCTGGCAGGCTGAAGTTGGCCATGGTAGGAGTATTTACACCACAGCAATTGACACACACCCTGTAGCAGGGTCCCCGCCCCGAGAGCCAGTTTTCCAGCACACCACTGGCTGTTTCCTTCTGGAAGTCGGGGATTCCATGATTAGTTTTGGAGAAGGGTGGGAGAATCTTGTTTAAGAAAGCCAGATGGAACCTTCAGGAAGGCGACTGTGTGGCTAAACAATGGAGGCACTATCAGAAGTAAATTCCGATTCCTGAAAGGCAGGGGCTGGCCTTTCACAGGCATCATCCGGCACAGCCGGCACAGAGGCCACTAACGGGCTCTGGGCAAGGCCGTCTGGGCTCGGGTCCCAGCTCCAGTGCTTACTAGCTGTCTGACCTTGGGTAAGTCACGCTACCTCTCTGTGCCTCATTTTTGTCATATGTAAAAATGGGGGAATACTATTCACTCAGCATTCTTAGGAGGATTAAATGAGTTGCATGTATGTAAAGCTCTTAGGTCAGTTTTTGGCAAGTCACTAATGCTCTGTCAATGCTTGTTAAATACATACAACAGAAAACTGATGTATCCAGAGAGGCAGTCTGACTTACCCAAGGTCACACAGCAGATTAGAGGCAGAGCTGGAATCAGAGCCCAAGCCTCTGCCATGGCAGGTAGCCCTATGGGTTTTGTTTGGATGTCTCTGATCCTGACAAGGATCTGTGCGGCTCCTGGGGATGACCCATGTGTCCTGACGTTGAATGTTTACATAGCAGGGTGGAACAGGCAGACCTAGTGGCCTCTGCCCTGAAAGGGCAGGTTGTTGAGGTGGCCTCCAGGGAGCATGGCCTCCCCTGCCTGGGGCAGGCCACACAGAGGCCCAGGCAGGACTGTGATCCCATTACTGGAGTTAGGCAGGTCATTTGAGCTGGCGACTCCTCCAGGAACAAAGATGAGTTGAGCCTACCTATCAGGGCAAACAAGACAGTAATAATGACAGCTTCCGTTTACAAAGCCACTCAGTCACCATCTGCCAGGCACTGTTCTAGGCACCTGGAATTCAGTGACAAACCATGTCGACAAAATCCCCACCTTCATCCACCTCATGACATTCTAGCAGAGGGGTCAGATGATGAACAAGTATATCGAGAGTTGTATGTGCATGCTTAGGCAGCACATATACTAAAATTGGAAGGACACAGAGATTAGCACGGTCCCCGGGCAAGGATGACATGCAAATTAGTGAAGCATTCCATTTAAAGAGAGAGAGAGAGATAAAGGCTTGGAGGAGGATGTGGCCAGGGAAGGCAGGTGGGGCATGGCTTGTGATGAAGTCAGGGAGGACTCCCAGAGGAGGTGACTTAGGAGCAGTCCTGAAGGGCTACAGGGAGCATTGTGAACAACGCCTGCAACCTTGCACATGTCCTTTCATTAAACGCTCCTGCTGTCCTGGTGAGGTGGCTGGTGTTCTATCTTCCTGAGGAGGAAGCTCAGGGCACCCATGCACCTGCTCCTGTGCTTCCACTCGCAGTCGCACAGCCGTGACATTCAAACTCAGCGGTCTCCCCATCCTCAGCTACCTCCCCACTGGCTCACGGAAGTACCATCAACCCAAAAATGTGGACACCACGGAGCCTGGGTGTGTGTGTGGGGGGTGTAGTCGGGGTCTTGGGGAAGGGAGAGCATGCCTAGGGGTCTTGGGGTGCAGGTCTGGCATTCACTCAAGAGGTGAATTTAGAGTTGAACTTGGAAAGAAGGGAAGCAGGGAGGGAGGAGGGAGGGAGGGAGGGAGCGAGGGAAACTCCAAAGGGAGAGGGTCTGGCTTATTCAGAACCTGGGTGGGAGCAGGGAGGGACCTGCTTTGGAATGCAACTTTGATGCGAATTCAGGGTGAGAGAAGAGAGCCCAAATTCAGGTGGTACACCCTGGTTCTCTTACCACCACACACAGGCCCGGCCTCCTAGGAGCTGGGCGACACACAGGCATAACACCGCAGGCCTTTCCTCTGGGAGAATGGAGCAACGTCCAAAATGTCCCAAGACACACTGTGCCAGAGTGCCTAGTGACCACATCCCGGCACCCCACGGTAGACCTGATTTCCAGCATAGTCCCTCTGCTATTGCTCCCTCAAATGCCATTTGGGTCTTCAAACCCCCTCTCCCTCCTGCCTCTTGTGCCCATTCATTCATTCATTCATTCATTCCCTGGGTATGTACCGAGCAGCGGCTGTGGGCCGGCAGGGCGCTGATGGCCCCGCCGTGCTCAGAGTGCTGCCCGCCCTCACAGAGTCATGTGTGGTGGTGGAGCTGGACGTCTCTCAGGGGCAAGGCAGACTAATTTATGTGACGACAGTGCCACCAAGGACCAGGCAGAGCAAACGGAGCAGAGGCCTCGGCCCCACCTCCCCCGCCACATGCTCGCAGGCCGGGGTCGGGGTCGAGGGGGCCCTCGTCGCTGGGCCGGGTGCAGGGAGGGGTGTTAGGCGTGGAGAGGGCAGGTCTGTGCCCTGGGCCGGGAGGCTGGCGGGGAGGCTGGCCGGGAGGCTGGCGGGGAGGCTGGCCGGGAGGCTGGCGGGAGGCTGGTGGGGAGGCCGGCGGGGATGCCGGCCGGGAGGCCCGCGGGGAGGCCGGCGGGAGGTTGGCGGGGAGGCGCCGTTGGGCAGAGCGGTCCCGCCCGGCCGCCGGCAGGGGGAGCCCGCGCCGAGGGCGGGCGGGGGCGAAGCCGCGGTCTCCGGGCGTCTGTGCGGGGGCGCCTGAGCTTGGCCACGGATGGATGCGTGCGCAGGCCCCAGGTCTGCCGACCAGCCCGGGCCCAAGAAGGGGAAGAGGACCTGGGGAGAGCAGGAGGGCCGAGGGCCGGGCAGGGGGCGCTGGGGAGCCCCTGAGTTTCCGGGGCCAGGCAGGTGTCCCGGGCTCCGAGCTGGGCCCTGAGAGGCTTCCAGAGGCCCCGGCGTAGGGGAGGAGGCTGGGGGCACATCCTGGTCTGCAGGGTCGCGCGTCCCTGTGTGGCGGGCGAGGAAGGCAGACGCCTGCTCTTTCCACAGATGCCGCCGGGCTCACGCCCTGCCCATCCAGGGCCGCCAACTGTTGCCCCCTCAGAGGCCTGCCCTGACCGCCCTGCCTAAAATAGCACTCACAGTCCTTCTTGAGAGCCTTCCTCTGCCCTGTTCTCTTCCTGGCACTTAATACCATCTGCCGTTACCTTGGGTTGAACCACATGAAATGATTAAATATCTGCAATTTTATATGGTCCAGCCTAATTCTATACAGTTGTCATGGGTTTTTCATCTGCCTCCCCACTAGAATGTCTTTTTTTAATCTATTCCTTTTCTGTTCCATTCCCTGCACTCAGACCAGTCCCTGGCACATAGTAGATGCCCAATAAATACATGTTGAACAAACAGGCGAATGAATCTGTGGGCTGGGTATTTGGCCAAAAACTTAATAAAGGAGTTGGATGTGAGCTGGAGTGGATTCCACCCAGGGGAGCCGCTTCTGGTTAGGCTGACTACGTGCCAGGCACCGAATTAGACACTTCTCCTGTCATCTCTTTTAGTCTTCGTGATGGCCCTGTGAGGTGGGTATTATCACCCACTCCCATTCTACAGATGAGGAAACTGAGGCTTAGGCCGACTAACTGGACTGAGATCACACAGCTTAACAAGTCACAGCACAGCCCTCAAATGCAGTCTGTCCTCTGCATCGCCTTACTTCCTTGTGATTTTGGTGGTTTTGTGGAGTTTTGACAGCCCCAAAGCATGGGGACCTCTCAGCGCTGGAGCCAGAGCCCTCGGGCTCCCTTGTCTGTTCTACTCCGGGGACTCCAGGTGTGTCGTGCTTTCTCATTTTTGTGGCAGACTCGTGGCCAATGGTGGCGAGGATGCGAGTGCTGGCCCTGCTGTTTGGGACAGAGAGGCCAGCTTATCATTTGAGGAGCTGCTGTATTCCTGAGGCAAGATGGAGTCTGGGGGGCTGGGATGGGGGACGTGACAGCCTCGTAATCATGTGGGACTTTTGTCTCCATCTCAAAGTCATCCGTTCCCCAACCATGCGCCTGCCCTCCAGAGGCTCACAGCCTGGCTAAGAAGACACACTACAGCCACAGCCGCCTTCAGGTACTTGCTGGCACCAGGCGTGCTAGTCGGTGGCTGTATGTGCAGACTCAGGAGGCAGACAAGCGGTTTGAAGGTCATGTTCACCACCTTCTTAGTTTCGTGTGGCTTTGGACAAATTACTTAACCTCTCTGAGCCTCAATCTCTCCATCAGTACTAGGGTATAATAATAGTGGGACAGACCAAAGTAGCCCCGACACCTGGGAGCTGCCCGGTCCTGCCAGCCAGGACGTGCTTGCTCAGAGCTGGCCTGGCACAGCTCAGCCTTGGTGTCCTTCTGTTGAACATAGACAATTGCCAAGACATCGGCATCAGACTAGGCCATCTGTGACCAGCATGGATCAAGACAAAATCCAGACTACTCCATAATCACATCTGAGCACAGACAAAACGTGAGTACTGTTCAAACCACGACGGTGACCCAGCGTCCCCTGGACAGCTGCTCTGAGTGAAGGCTGCTTCTTTACTAGTTGTAGCTCTGCCTCGTTCTAGCCTGCCCTCCTGGGTAAGATTTATGGAGATGCGCAATCACACCATCACTTTCACTTCCTGACAGCACGCAATCCCGCACAAAGCCCCGCTCCCTCACGCCCTCCCCAGACCTCCTACCGCAAGTGCAGACCGTGTGAGTCCTTTCTGACGCCCCTTCCCGAGACACCCCCAGCCCCACGGTGCAGAGCAGTAAACTCAGTGTGCTCCCCACGGCGCGTTTCCCGTGCTGTCTGGCTGGCGCGTTTCGGTGCTATCTGACTGGCGGCAGTGAAGTCCCTACTTTCCTGGGTTGTTGTGGGGAATATACTTACACGGTACTTGGAGTGATACCTTCCTCAGGCTCTGTAAACATGCTTGTCATACTTTCATACTGTCCCCATTTTACAAAGAGGACACTGAAGCTCAGAGAGGGAAGGAACGTTGCCCGACATCACACAGCAGGTAGTAGCAAGAGCCCTGATGGAAATACAGGTCTCATTCCAGAGTTGGTTTCCGGAACCCCTGCCTCCACGTTAATAGGGCAGAAACCAACAAGCAACACTGGGGCGGGGGCTGGGGAGGAGAAGAGCAAAGTGGCCTTGAACTCCAGGAGAAGAGAGTCTGGGAGCTGGGGAGGCCGGGCATCCCGGACTCCCTCCTCCCACTCTCCGGCTTCCTGACTTCCCCGACTGAATCCTCTGAGGCGCTTCCCTGCCTGGCTGCTGGGCAAACGCAGGCCCCAGGTAGGGATCAGTCAGCAGCTGAGGCCTGAGTCACTTCCTGACTCAAGAGGCGACCTCCCGGAGCCGCAGCCAGAGTGACCAGCTCGTGCCCTGGAAGCATTGCACCCACCTGGGCAGTGAGCACTTCCTTGGCATTCCTCACGCCCCGGGCTCACCTCTGCCACCGCAGGTGTTAGAGACACACAGTAGAGGCTCCAGCCCTGACCTGGTGCCTGGCCCAAATGCCAGCCCCCTTCCTCTCTAGATCCTCGGCCCAGAAGGAAACCGAATCTCCTGGACAACTCTCTCTTGCCTGCTCCCAGCCCTAAAATCTGGCCTCCTGATTCTGAAGATAAAAGACTCTGCTTCAACTTCAGAATCAGAGTAACTTCCAGTGGTGCCACCAACCCCAAAGGTCCAAACTCCTGTGGGGCTCCCAGTCATGTAAACCCTTCCCTTCTCCTTCCACGAGTGTCAGGGCCGGAGTAGGGGTGAGGCAGGGAAAAGGGTGGGGAATGTGTCAGATACCCCAGGGCGGGATGTACTGAGGGACACAGGGTTTGATCAGTAGACATGTCCTTTTGATGTGGGCAAGGCTATGTCCTTTAAGGAGCAATGCCCCTCAATTTGGAGACACTGTGCATCCTTGCAGCCAAGAGCATGGACTCTAGAACCAGCTGTGTTAACTTCTTCACCAGCTCTGCCCTTACCAGCTGTGTGACCTTGGACATATTAACCTCTCTGCACTTCAGGTTCCTCATCTCTAAAATGAGGGTAATAATTGTACTGACTCACAGGCTTCTTGCCAGGAGTGAGTGAGTTGTGTATGTCAAGCACTTAGAATAATGGCAGGCACATGGCAAACACAAGTGTTTATTAAGTAAATATTTTTTCACTTCTAATGGGCTGACTCTTCCATTCATTCTCCACACATTTATTGATATCCTTCTTGTGCTAGAGATGAACAAGACAGATTCCCTGCCTGAAATCTCTGTTGCATGATCCTTGCATTCCACCCCCACTCCAAAATGGTCTTCTAGGCCGTGCCTGATGGGACTGCATGGGGGCTGCGGGCTCCCTAGTGCAGACCCCCAGCTTGCTGCAGCCCCTCTCAAGTTCCTTTCCTTGTTCAAGACACCTTCTCTCCCTTTGACACAATGAAGCAAGAGGTCCCCACCCCTTCCACAGCTCCTTCCCCAGGCCAGAAGGGGTTAGATAAGTCACCCTTGCAGCCATTTTTCACCCCTAACTGTGTTCCTCAAGGGCCTTTGCAATTAAATTTGAGCACAGAATCTGGTTCAGGCTGCATGAGCCACCAGACTCAGGGGTCAGAGGGCCCTGGTTTGCCATTGCCCTCACAGGGCATTCGGAAGCCAGAAGAACTGCATTTAAAACTGAACATTTGAACCTGCATGGATATTTGGTGTTATAGAATTAGTGCTATTAATTTTAGGTTTAAGAATGGTATTGTGGTTATGTATTTTTAAAAAATCTTTATTTTTTAGAAATACAAAAATATTTATGGATGAAATTATATGATGCCTGGGTTTTCCTTTAAAATGATATGGGGAGAGGAATGCAGATGAAATAAAATTGGCTATCAGTTGCTGGAATTGCTGAACTGAGGAGTTGGGGTCATGGGGTTCATCAGAACTGCCCATTAAAGTGTGGTCCAGAGGCCTGGGAGCTGGTTCGAAATGCAGAGTCTTGGCTCCACCCCAGACCTACTGAATCCAAACCTGTGTTTGCATCACCTAAAATTCTCAGGGGATTCCTGTGCATTTTCTTTTTTAAGTTTATTTATTTTATTTTATGATTTTATATGTATATATTATTTCAGAATATTGTGGGGGTACAAACTTTTTGGTTACATAAATTGCTTTTGTACCATTTGAGTCAAAGTTATAAGTGTGTCCATCCTCCAGATAGTGTGCATTGTACCAAATGCGTGTGGAGTTGCCGCTCCGCCTCCCACCTGCTTGATTTCTGATGAATGTTATTTCCTCGTGTGCACTTAAGTGTTGATTGATTAGTTCCAATTTAATGGTGAGTACATGTGGTGCTTGTTTTTCCATTCTTGTGATACTTCACTTAGAGAAATGGTCTCCAGTTCCATCCAGGTTAATACAAGAGGTGTTAGTTCACCGTGTTTCTGTGGCTGAGTAGTACTCGTGGTACACATATGCCACATTTTATTAATCCACTCACGTATTGGTGGGCGCTTGGGTTGTTTCCACTTCTTTGCAATCGTGAATTGTGCTGCCTGTGCGTTTTCAAGTGTGAGAAGCACTGGGCTATTCTATTTTCCTCTATGTTCGAAATTTTCCATGTTACAAAAGTTACGGGGTTTGTTTTGTTTTCCTAGATTGTCTTCACAATCCCCGCCCATCCTGTGGCGCCAGGGCTGGAGGGAGCTGGGAGGCGCGTCCCCCCTCTGCCCCGTGGGTCTAGGCAGCCCCGCAGGCTGCGGCGCGGTCCCCAAGGGCAGCCCCCGTCGGGCTGGGCGCACCGGGCGGGCGGGGCGGGGCGGGAGCGCGGGCTGCGGGCGGGCGTGGCGGCCGGGGCGCACCTGGGCGGGCGGCAGGTGGGAGCCGCAGGTCCCCGCCCTCGCGCAGGGGAGGGGCGGGCGGCGGGCGGGCGCGGCCGGGCGCGAGTGTCGGGCTCCCAGCCGCCGAGACTGGTGCCCGGGATGAGCCTCACCCGGAAAAGGGGCTTCTACAAGCAGGAGGTCAACAAGACCGCCTGGGAGCTGCCCAAGACCTACGTGTCCCCGACGCACGTCGGCAGCGGGGCCTATGGCGCCGTGTGGTGAGCCCGGCCGCGCGGCCGCTGGGGGGCGCGGGGGGCGCGGGCACACGCGGCGGGCGCCGCGCGTCTGGGTCGCCCGCGGCCGGCCCCTCTCCGGCACCGCCTTGACCCGGGTCCCCGAGGCCCAGCGCCCTGCCCCGGCCTCGTCCCGGGCCGCCGTGGAGCTGGGAGCCAGGTGGAGTCCGAGCCGGGAGGCTCCAGCCGCGGCAGAGCTGGCCCGGGCCCGGGGCGCCACCTCACTTTCTCGCGGGGCGGCTGGGCGGGGTCCCTGGGGTTGAAGTAGGGCTGGGTCTGGTGCTCCGGGACGGTGACCTTGCAGGGAGCCCAGGGGGCGTCGGGCAAATCCCCACTGTTACGGAGAAGCACACCGAGGCCCAAGAAGGGGAAGTGGCTCGCCAAACGCATGGAGCACGAGGCCCCTGCCCTGCTGGGTCCTGGGCGCTCGGATGTCCCTGCCCCGCGCAGGGCTCCGCTCTCAGGGTCTGCCGGGCTGCCCGCCCTCGCCGCCTCCCGCGGGCCTCCCACGGTCCAGGCGGCGGGCACCCCTGGGCTGGCCCCGCGACTGGGATGCCACCCAGCCTCGGGAGTGGGCGCCGGCGGGAGGAAGGCCGTTGCCTGCTGACCTGCCTGTGCCCCTGCAGCTCCGCCATCGACAGGCGGTCAGGGGAGAAGGTGGCCATCAAGAAGCTGAGCCGGCCCTTCCAGTCGGAGGTCTTCGCCAAGCGCGCCTGCCGGGAGCTGCTGCTGCTGAAGCACATGCAGCACGAGAACGTAGGCCGACAGGGACGGGGACCGGAGGGGGCCGGGGTCCTGCCAGGCCTCTCCCAGGACAGAGAGCTCAGGACAGGGGCAGGAGGAGGAGGATTTCCTCCCTGCTCCACCCATCGGGCTTCTCAGCTCATTATTGAAAGGAGGGGGTGCCAGGACCTGCCCTGCCCACCTCCAGGAAAGGTACAAAGAGTATTTCTGGCAGCATGAGCTTTTGAGGTACAGATTTACCATCTCCTTGTTAGGAAGAAATAGGCACCGAGGAACTTTGTAATGTGCTCCCCGTCTAAGAGCTTGTGGGACTAGAATCCAGGTTAACGTTGTTTCCACATGTGACCCTGGTAATAACAGCAGCAATAACAGATACTTAACTGAGCACTTACTATGTGCCAGACACTGTTCTAAGAGCTTTGCATAAACTAACTTGTTTAGCTCTCACGATATCACATGAGATTGGTACTACTGCCCCTTCCTCACAGAGGAGGAAACCAAGGCACAGCAAGGCTCCTAGGTTATGTGGTTAGTCAGCAGCGGAGCCGGAATTTGAATCTAGGCAGCCTGGATGTGTGACAGTTACACACTGTCCTGCCTCTGAAACAGCTGGGAAACCCAGCAAGCCCACTCTGGGCCGGGCAACCAGGCTTGGCTTTGCAGGACACCTAGACTGTAGGGCAAACATTCAAATAGTGATTTCAAAATATTGTGCACATTTTAAGCCCAATCCCTCTTCAGCAACCCTTTCCCGGGCCTCCTACCAGGGGTGGTCTTGTCCCTGGCTCTGAACCAGTGGTGTGGCAGGCAAGGATGGATGTGGCTGGAGACCCAAGGTCAAGGGCAGGGAGCCTGCTAGCTGGAAAGCTCCTTCCCTGTTCCCTCTTTTCCCCGTTTGACCCTCCCCTCATGGTTCCCTGTTACCACTTGTGTTGAGAGTGGGTTTGTGCTGCTTGCCCTGAACACCAGGCCCTGGAGCAGTGAGCACACCCCCCTCCCCCCCTTCTCCCCAGCCTGATTCTCCGTCACTTTTTATTGCAAGCTCACTCCCAATTGTGGGGGTTCCTCTTTGGCCTCTGCCTCTTTAACTGCTTCCAAGAAGGCTGGGGACCTGCCTCCTGCTAGAGGCAGTGTATTAGGAAAGGGTGGGTGGTCCTGTTCCTGGCTGGAGCCCCAGGGGAAGTGGGAAGAGGGCAGCTCTGCCTCGGCCTCACTGGTGACCTCTTCCCCAGGTCATCGGGCTCCTGGATGTCTTCACCCCAGCTTCCTCCCTGCGCAACTTCCATGACTTGTGAGTCCCACGGCACTGGGGTCTGGGGCGTTTGCAGGCCTTACTTGCCACTCAGGAGCAAGTTGGGGAGGGTCCAGATTCTCTCTTCTGGGTAGGAGGGCCCCCATTCCCTGGCAGTCCCTGTGCCTTGGTCTGGCAAGGTATGATTGTCTCTGGAGAGATGCGTTCAGCCAAGGGTGGGGGAAGGCAGGCAGGAAGGGGCGGGATGGGCCTCCTGGGGTGTGCTTGCCTGGCGGGAACTGTCAGCACAGCTGCTTGGCTCGTTGCCCAGCTTTAACACCTGGGAGACAGGCCTATCAGTCCTCACAGGGTTTGTGCCAATGCTGCTCATCGTCCCCTGGAGGCCCAGGTGTGGCTCTGGACTTTGGGACCCTTTCTAGCACAAAGCAAGAATCAAGAAGCCTTGGCTGCCTGTGGCCAGTGGAGTGTTTGATAGACGTACATAGAACCAGAAAGCACAGACGCTACACGCAGGGCTTCACCAGTGCCCTAAGCCACGCTGGACTGTTTGGACATTTTAGGAAGTTCAGGGTGGCGAGTGGAGCCAGCAGTTGGGTTGGTCAAGCTAAGAGTCTGAACTTGATCCTACAGGTAGCCCCAGGTCCATGGGGGTTTTGAGCAGGGAGGTGATGCGGTCAGAGGGGATTTTGGGGGTATCCTCTGGCAGCTGTGAGAAAGGAGCAGGCAGCAGCTTTGGGGAGGAAGGAAACCCTGAGGGCCAGTGTTAGTGAACAGACCTTGATCTAAAGTAGAGGGGCTGGGCCTCGTAGCCTGTGCCTATAATTCCAGCTACTCAGAAGGCCGAGGTGGGAAGATCGCTTGAAGTCAGGAGTTCAAGACCAGCCTGGGCAACATAGCAAGACTCTGTCCCTAAACAAAAATAAATAAATTTTAAAAATAAAAAATAAGTAGAGTTGACAGAATGCTGCGAGCAGACTTGAGACCCACTTGGGAGGCAAGACCGACAGAATGTCGTGTCTGTTGGGAGGCAGGGGCTGAGTGAGGTGGCGGGGTGCGGGACGCTCAGGTTCCTGCGGGCAATACGAGGTGAGGGAAGAACAGATCTTGGGGGAAAGACAGTGAGCCCCATTTTGGACACTTCACTGTTGAAGAGTGGCCACGTGTTTAATCAGCAGTTGCAAATGTAAATGAACATCAGGAGAGGGAGGTCGAGGTGAAGGAGCTGGGTCTGGGCTGGATCCCACCTGTGGGTGACAGCTGAATCCGGGAACGGGATCGTCGGGCGTGACGAGATCACGTTGATTCAGACGTCCACCTTAAGGAGAAGGTACGAGAGGATGAGCAGATGAAGAAAACTAAGAGCCTGATCTGGGGCAGAGGAGTCTGGCAGGGAATTTTGAGGGAGTGTCAGACTTTGGGAAAGGCCAGGAAGGGGAGTGGTGGTGTTTGTCATGTGGTTGCCGGTGACCTTGAGCCGACAGTTCAGCGGTAGGACGGAAGCAGAAACCAGGTTGTGGGGGGCCTGGGAGTTAAGGCAGTGGAGTCAAGGAGTGTGGGTCCCCCTTTCCAGAAGTTTGCTAGTGAGAGAGGCTGGAGTGGTCACTTGAAGTAGCAAAGTCAAGGGCAGGTGGTTCTGGCACAGTGAGGCTTCTGGAAGTTTGTCTGCCAAGAGGAAAGAACTAGGGTGCACGCAGGGTGAAAGACACAGGAGGGGCCTGTGCATGGAGTGGGGCGGGGGTGCGCTGTGCTTGGGCAGCGTGGTTCCAGAATTCAGAGACTCACAGAGACAGCCTCCACCACATCCTTTTCTT